ACTGAATTATTAACAGATCGATTAAGATTTGTCTCATGTGGGCCGTTACTAATTCCCGTTGTGGTAACCACTCTCTGGCTCTGGTAACCACTTATCGTCAGGTAGAACGTGAGCTCGTTCATCCATCGACGCAATTAAAATTAAAGAAGCATTTGGCTTGACCAAGCAATGCTTGTTTAGGTGAAAGTATCCTAATGATGAATAGTAAGTACGCCAGGGCGGATCAGTAGCTACGGGTGTACAGCTCCATGCTCACTCCCGGGCGGCCGTGGTAGTACCTAGCAGTATCCAGTTCTGTTAGTGTCGCCACCCTGGGCCACCCCAGTCATGATTATATCCGTGAAACTATCGTGTTCTCGGCAGGTGATCGGCGACACTTACGTTCGAATCCTGTAGTCTTTGATACCAGGTGGGGTACGTTGCTTATGACGAGCTAGCAACTCGTCTTTTTTTTACGGTAGGCAGCGGCTTGGCTCTGCCCCTGGCATTGGTGACGTCCATGAGCGACTGTGACCACTTACCATCAGGTGGGCCGTATGCTCGTCTGCCTACAAAGGCAATTAAAAAAAAAACTCGTCTGATAGTAAATGCCATATAATATGCCCATTTCTTAGGATAAAGGTTAGCCTGCTCCCCAACTGAAGGTTGACAGAGCGACAGTACAAGCAAAAAGACGTATGCTCTGTGCAAGTAAAAACTCCATGACATATAAGAACACATTTATTCACCTTCCTGGTGTAGTGACGGTCCGCGCGAATACATTACACAACCGAATGGTGCGGCGCAGGTATTTACACGGGAGTTTGCTAACGAGTCGTGGAGAGAGCAAATATTTTTTAACTGATAGAAACAATTGTATTCAACTTACATTCATTATCTATCATATTTGGAAAAATAATACAATCTCAACATGTCAGGTGTGAATTTAGAATATTTATCTTAGTGCTAGTTTTTGGAAGATAAGGTTATTCGAATTTACATTCGCTTAAAACTAGAAGATAACGTTAATAAATGAAGAACCTCTCAGCAAAATACATTTTTTTTTATTTGCTTCACACACGGACTTATAATTACATAAGTAGGTCTTAATTATATTTACATTATAAAAATCTATAATTTATCATTTTACAATAATTATTTACGTAAATGTAAGTATGAGTTGTACTTATTATTGCATTTTTTTATAAAAAAAAACTTCTCGAAAATCAATTATTACTGTGCAATACAATTTAATAGTCATTAAAATTTTCGATAAATTTTAAGAATAGTTAATATCTCAACGGTTACAAAAATAGATTCAGTTAACAAAGTCAGTCGCGAGAGAAGATGCAGAGTAAAGAAACAAAAATACCATCTTCTTCAATTTTCAATCATTTCTTGTAGTACATTTTCAAAATTTCCAAATAAACTTAAATTAGTGACTTGTTTAAATCAATATGTTCTATGTTCATTTTCTAATTATTTAGTTACTAATAACTAGGTGTTATAATTATATTGAACTATGTTACACACGTATGTACCTATATTGCTTGCTTACACAAATATTGGATTGGCTACATTACAAACATTTTGTACAAAATTAAAAATTTATTCGTCTTAACTATAAATTATCTAATCTAAGAAATACGTTTTGATATTGATTTTTAAAATTTGATATTTAAAAACAATCACGTCTTAATAAATTATGCTAATAGAGGTTTAATGAAATTTTATTTACATAATATGATTATTATTTTACACCATAAGAATAAAGACACCAGTTATGTTGATTCAAAATTATAAGCAGTTCCACTGAAAAATACTACATACTTAGTTAGAATCTTGCAAAAATTTTAATAGTTTATTATAGTTAATAGTTCTGGTTTTTAGCTTGAATTCCGAATGTTTTCGATAAGATCTGTATATTTGTATTCATCGTTATAATATATCAAAGATAATTATATTTAAAGGAAATTAGTAGAAAACTGATATATCGCGTGTGATAACAATCTCTAATTACTCGCTCGTTGTTCATAGCTCGCCACAAAATATCAGGACATTATTGTACACGATTATCGACTCTAAGTAACGGTAAAAATCCCCTCGAGGACGCACACCCCACACATCAGCATGTGCCTGGACAACTGATGTAACAACGTTCGTTTAATATTTCTTAGATTAGATGTGGAAGGACATAAGAGCAGAAGACGAGAGAGCTCCTAGATGCTGCACAGACTAAGTTTTTTTTTATTTGTGCGTAGAATGGCATAGTGGGGAAATGGGAATACTCCTAGAGCGCCACCACCCTGCAGCCAAGGTAGGTTTGAACACTGTCAAGGAACGTTTTTACGACAAGGCGCATTATAATGTGCAATAGATTTGACTAGATGGCGCTGCGCGGGGTGCCGCGACCGCGACAAACCTTTTCGTTTCGTTATTATCATCTCTTTTTGTGTATTTAATGTTATGATGATAAAAATATATATATTTTTTTTTGTTGCTTAGATGTGTGGACGAGCTCACAGCCCACCTGGTGTTAAGTGGTTACTGTAGCCCATAGACATCCACAACGTAAATGCGCCACCCACCTTGAAATATATGAATATGTCGGAGACGGTCATTAATTTGGTAGCTAAACGAGCCGCAGCACGATTCCCAAGAGATAAGCCGTTGCGTGGAGTGCTCTACATGCATTTGAGCGGATGCATCTTGGTGTACGGACCACTGTCTTTCGACAGTCCGTACTCCACAGTATTGGATGTGAAACGTTGTCTTTGACAATTAGTACTGACCCTATTGCGGTGGGTGATAGATAGTATAGATAGTAGTGATTAGTAGTCTGTCCGTGACAGATAGTACTGCCCTATGTGACCGTTATCATTCACGATTGTCATTTAATTAGTTCAGTCTCCATTTTTATAGTTCATTTAAATTACTGGGTTACGATCAGTGATCATTTAATAGTAATAAATTCCTGTGTGCTCTAACTCGCTTATATTCCTGATGTCTGAGTCGTGATCGGACTAATACACATACTTTTGTTGTAGCTAGCTAGCTAGCTAGCTTTTGTTGTTGTAGCTTGTTACGCCGGTTCATCTCGGGACTGTGACTTGTGGAGGCGGTGGTGTAATAGTTGGAGTTAGAAATACAACGACTTTGTGACTTGTTTTACTCAATTTCCTTGATTAACATATAAATACATGAAACGTTTAAGACTTTTCGAGTTTAAAGCGGAACCTACCCCCGCTACCGCGAAACCGTAAGCTCATTCACGATATCTGTGCTGAATCCTGGTAAAGACCTCGGTGCGGTCAGTAGTAGCTAGGCTGCGACTCTGATATCGGTGACGTCACCGGGTGATCTACGGTGATGACGCATGCCTTCCGTGATGATAATACAGCACGTGGCAATCCACCATTCGTCGTCTTGTGTGTATAGAGTTCGTTTATATTCATATAGAGTTATTGAGCTTCACAGTAATAAGTTTTTAAGTAACATAGTTGACTTTTGCACATTGTGCACATTGATGACGGGAACAATTTTTATCTGATTAAATTTAAGTTCGGTGTCATCGACCGCCATTTGTATTTATTATTAATTTATATCTCCCCAGTCTCAAACTCTGGGAACTAGCAGAGAGACCGTGGGCCCTAGCCCAGACTGAGAGTCCTCTATTGATGTTATTGAATAAACTGCTCCTCTGTTATAGAAACAAGTACTAATCTTCTTTCAATTCATAAAATCCTGTATAACTGTACTGCTGCTGTATAGTAATTTTGCTATATAGTTGTACAAAATTCTATATTCTGAGATAGCTTGCAGATGTAATCCTATGTCGACTACATCTGAAAACTACCTCAGACCTTAGTTGTACTATACTAGCACTTCATGACCTATGCAAGTGTAGTATTTGTTGTCCCGGCCCCTAACACACATAAGCTCTCTCCAGTTTCTGTAGGATAGCCTTCAGAGCACTGTGTTTAGTGAAGAATGTAGAACTTCACGATAACCTCCATCCAGAAACAATACGTAAGTATCTGAAGACAGCATCAGAACGCTTCTTCGAAAAAGCGGTGCACCACGATAACAATCTCATAATTACCGCCTCTAACTAAATACCCAGCCGACGGGGCAATGCAAAGCCACCGTCGCACAAAAAACAATGTCTAGTCATGTCAAGAGTTCACCGGATCTTTCAATGGGTCATGATTCCGGTCCTGTAGTAGTATTAGCGAAGCACTGCTCTTGTTTGGGATAGTGATAGCAAGTTCTCTCAAGTTGAGCCCGTGAGCTCATCTACGAGTCCAAACGTAGCTGATACAGCCTCTTAAGCTACCAGTGATTAGATGGAGGAAAAATAAATCTGTGGTCGTTTCTCCTCCAGCCAAGCCACTGTATTCCGTAACGGTCTCGCACAAATGGTGACTGTCACAGCATCACAAATCTAAAACAATGGTGTTAGTGGAGGTTCTAAAGATCACTGATTATTGCAATATTTTATCTCCATCAGTAAGTATCTACAGTTGGCATCGATGCGTCACTTCGATAAAGCGGCACGACACGAGAACCCTCTCATCGTGGCCGCCGGTAACTACATTCCCGATCCTTCGGACAGAATGGAAAGCAGTCGACGTCGCCCAAAACACGTCATTTCGGATCTTCCCGTACCACTAACGGTGCTTTTAGCTACCTCAAGCACCGGTCACCGTTCTCGTGAAACCCGTCGCTTGCGACGAAGGGCTCGACGAGTAAATTGACCCTCAGACACAGCCCACTGAGTTTCTCGCCGGATCTTCTCAGTGGGTCGCGTTTCCGATCCGGCGGTAGATTCTGCGAAGCACGGCTCTTGCTAGGGTTCGTGTAAGCAACTTCATCAGGTTTGAGCCCCGTGAGCTGACCTACTAGTTAAGGTTACGCTGAAATAGCCTCTCAAGGCTCTCAGCTCGGTAGGAAAAAAAAGTAATATTTTGTAGATCGGTGCTTAGAGTTCAGAAATATGGATGTTGACGTTCCTCCTGCGGCTAAACCATCTGCAGTCCTTTACTGATATTTTCGACATGCTCCTTGGCTTTCATCCTGAGGGCGGCGATGGAGGATGAGCGGGGGTCGGGCGCGGCTGGGGGCGCGGGTGCGGGGCCTGCCGCGGTCAGGTAGCTGGGGTACCCTGAAGGGGGGTGACTGAGGAAACCTAGAATATAATTTAATTAAAATTAGATTATTTTTGTTATTGTAGACAGTAGAGGAGCTGATGATTTGGTGAGAGTATTTGATGATCTAAGTATGTCTAAGAGTATAATCCAAACTATGGCCCTTTTTTTGTCTAGAACTGAATCGTAAAATATTAGTTTCATTTAGTAGTGTCTTGTTTAGTAGTTTTCAATACCTCTCGCAGCCGTATCACTCTTGTCAGAGCGATCGTGGTTGTCATTCCGTATCATTGCTGTGGGCAGATGTTATGCGCCTCACGAGCAATCGCCACTTCTCCCGGCTTAATAAATTCGGTTTGAAGAGTGGGGCAGCCGTTGTAACTATACTGTGAAACCTTAGAACTTATATCTCAAGGTGGGTGGCGCATTAACGTTGTAGATGTCTGTGGGCTCCAGTAAACACTTAATACCAGGTGAGCTGTTAGCTCGTTCACCTATCTAAGCAATAAAAAAAAAGTATAGTATTTTCACAATTTAAGTTATTAACAACTATGAACTTTTAATTACGATTGTTTATCCCAACTACAACACTTCCGCATGATGTTCGAAATATTACATTCTAAGTTCCAAAAGTAGATAGTGAGATGTACCCTATCGTATCGCGTGACATCGGTCCTTCACAAGCGCGACTAAGAGATGTCATATAGAACTCAAGGTACAATCTCGCGAGCCTTACCTGGCAATGCGCTGAGTAGCGGCGGGGCTAGCCAGGGATCGACCGGCAGACCTAGCGCGCTGAGCCGCGGCATCCCGCCGCCCCCACACCCGTACTCGGACAGACCCAGCCGGGCCGCCTCCATCTTCTCCTGTCGACGCCACTTCGCTCTCCTGTTCTGGAACCAGACCTAAAGAAGCAAGAGCGTTATATTAGTCTGAGTCAGATGCTCACCTTTATTCAAACCTAGACCTAGCTCGGATATACTCTCATGGAATAGCATAAAAATAAGGAGCAATAAAAAATAAATAAAAAAAAAACAAACAAAAAAATGGAATTTAGAAATATCGTAACCTTTAAACCAAAACCAATGATTGAATCGCGGCAGAAATAGGAAATGTGGCAATGGGAACTTTAAACCAAAACTAATGATTAAATCGCGGCAGAAATAAGAAATATGATAATGGGACCTTTAAACCCAGAACCAATGATTGAATGGTGGCAGAAAAAGGAAATGCGATAACGGGGATCCGTAAGCGCTAGATTATTGAATGAAATACATTAATTTATAAACTTTGAATACATATTTGTTTCATTTTACACGATCGTGTGTGGGTTCAATCTACGTCGAAATCACGAGCGCACATACGTAACTAATTATTACGTGGCGTAATTCCACCACCCGGCGAGCACCCCTGATGATGGCAGACCCGTCATGTAACATATAATTATACCTATATTTTTCCTGTTAATTATTCTACGAACTACAGCAGGGAGGTAGGTAAGTATCAGCGCTTGAAAGGCAAACGTGACTAAACAGAACTGAACTTTACAGTAGACTAATTTAAAGTTGCAATACCTGAAAAAAATTCTATTTTAACGAATCTAGCTGTAGGATTGAAATGATTTTAATAGACCTAGAAATATGTATTTTTTGCGCATCAAATAAGGCTATTGCCTATCATTTATGTACAAAGCAGTTATTGTCGCTTAGTCACGCTTGCCTTTCAAGCGTCGATATGTACTAACTGCATTATTATTTATCGTTTCGATTACAATTCCAAGTCGCATCGACAATAGGTGTATAATATATGGGACGTATAAATCAGAAGCCCACACGATCTGTGCCGGCCCGAACTTTGAATACGTCGAGACACGAACTCGATCACGTAAAACGCTACTGCACTGTAGTCCGAGAGACAAGGATAACATTATTTTATGTTTGGTCTTGTTTACATAGGTACTTTTTAACTTAGATGTGAAAACGACATCCCAGCCCGTCTGATCAACAGCGGTTGCTGAAATCCAATGTGAATGACGTCCACTTGATTGTTGCCAAATAAAACGCATAGGCATAGAGTACAAATTTTAACTCCACGAGAAGTAAACAAATTAGCATTTCGTCTGAAATATAGAGCGCGTAGTAATGAGGTTCTCCCCAATCGCTATCACAACCCAACTAGGCCTACAATACGTTCTATAACGGAGGCGGCTCCGCAATGTAAGATATGACAAAAAAAGTCTGTTTTTTTCAACATTCAAGGATTACAGAACATACAAAACAAGAATAAGGACATCCATACCCTGGATACCAAAGGTACAAGCAGTACTCATTACAAGACTCTTAAAGAATGGAACCCAGGCTTCATGGTATAGTATCGAATTCACTGTACCAACGAGGCGATCTCCGAACGGATGACATGGAAGTAGTATCAGTCGCTCTGGTGACCCTGGTCTGATTTTTTACTAAATTCCATTGACATCTTTACGCCACCGCATGCATCGTAAGGTTTTACGTTAAAACCTCAATTATATTGAAGCTTTTTTATTTTTTTTATAGCATAGAGTGGTGGACGAGCTCACCGCCCACCTGAGGTTAAGTGGTTACCGGCTGCCTTACCCTTCAAACCGAAACGCATTACTGCTTCACGACAGAAATAGGCGGGTGGTGGTATCTACCCGTGCGGACTCATCAGAGGTCTTACCACCAGTAAAACTGGAATAACGTCTACCCTTCAATCCCAAACACATTATTCGTGACGGTGAAGAGTGGGGCTGTGTGGAGGACCAACAAAGTAGGTACTAGTTGTTTAGAACAAAAAGTATTGAATGGCTGTTCATACCTGCAAATGGTCAAAACTTTAACTTTGTTTGACTAGGCTTGGCTGCCTCGGACTTAGAATTGTTAAATGCAACTGTAAGAGACTCAAAATAGCTTTGAAGATTATAATTTAACTTAGAGAGGCCAAAATGTAATTAGCTATATTGAATTAATGAAGATAAGTATAATTTAATTACCAATATGATTAATTTAAAACTTAATGGGAAAGAGGGAACACATTATTAGGCATAAATGCTACGAAAATTATATAATTCTATCGGCTCTATCGAGTCATTCTTACAGCCATTCCTGCCTCTCGATCTATTACGTTAACTCGCAGACGAGCTGATACAAGTTTTATCGGCGTAACAATAACGTTTATTTTCCATTTTATTGATAATTTGACGACTGGAGTGTAATATGATAGTGTGAAATGATATACTATATCGTTTAAGGATCGCGTGCTTAGAACGCGAGTCGAAATGTTCCGCGATCGAATGCGCCCGACATCGCAACACACGCCTTGTTTACATTACTCAACTTATTCAGATTTGATGTTGCTAAAGATATCAAATGACATACTTGGTATGTATATTTTATTATCTATATCTATAAAAATGAATTGCTGTTCGTTAGTCTCGCTAAAACACGAGAGCGGCTGGGCCGATTTGGCTAATTTTGGTCTTGAATTATCTGTGGAAGTCCAGAGAGGGGTTTTTTTTATTGCTTAGATGGGTGGACGAGCTCTCATCCCACCTGGTGTTAAGTGGTTACTGGAGTCCATAGACATCCACAACGTAAATGCGTAGTTACAAAGTTTTAAATTTAGAATTTTTAGTTTTAGGTTTAAAAGGTAGATAAATATGAAAAATGCTCAGAATTAAATAAAAATAACAATTTTGTTTTTCCTTTGATGTATCCCCAATCGGACGGATTCCTTTTGTTTATTTTAAGTTTATTTTATATAAAGGTTTAGGTCTTTTATTTATCGATTGAGGCACTACGAAGTCTGCCGGGTCAGCTAGTATATTATATATATTGTTATATATATTGTGTTATTTTGTGGCAGTCCGCGTATGCACGACATTCACTTGAGTAAATCAATTAATTTAAGTTTGAAATTTGTATCTCTGGTTTCATTTAGGTATATTGAAGCTAAAATTCCGAAACATAGTATTTTTTATTTGACACGTAGTAAGTACGCAGTCATTATAAGTAATGTTTTTTTTTTTATTTCCTCACAGGTTGATAGGTTCTTTAAGTTTCATTACTAAAGTGGAGGGAATAGGTAATGTTGAAGAAAGTGCATAGTGATGTAATGTCGAAAACGCTCTTCAAAAGAATTAAAATAACAGAAGTTCACCTCTGCGATTAGTGTGTTGTTATATGAAGCCGTCAGTGCAAAAGTGGCCTAAGCTTACAATAGTTAGTATGGAGGTAATTAGGTTTGAATTTTCGCGAATTTGAATTTGAGTAGGCAAAAAAAAACAATACGCGCAAATATTATGTTTACAAAGCTATCTGTTATCTATGGGTAAAACTATAGATAGGCTGGTTTTGCACCAAAATTTATTATATTTCTTGATTATAAAAAATTGTGGGTTAGGCCACTTTCGCGCTGATGGCCTCATATGTACAATATAGTTGGAACTAACTCCAGATGAGTAGTTTGAGCGTGTCATACTCACGTGCAGCTTGGACTTCGGTAACAACTTAATACTAGGTAGGTCCAGAACGCGCAGTATCAGCTAGATCAATAAAAATATAGGGCGAGTACTAATGCAAGGGTACACGAACTTTGAATTTTTAATATGTGTGTGCGTGTTTACGTTTGATTTTATATATAGCACCAGTTCTGTGAGATTAAAAGGAGATGGGCTCCCGTTCAGGATCGACAGAAGTCGCCCGCGACCGACCCCTCTGTGTCTACGTCGCTCAACTGGAAAGTCGTGAATATAGAATTAGTTTTATCGCGTTTCGTGTGGAGGTCCGTGGCACCGTCAGACACCATGCATCATGTCGGAACACCTCGTTATTAATAGTTTAACTTACAGTGTATAGAATGCCTTTGTTTGTCTGCTCGTTGTTTTAAAGAGGCTTTTGTTTTAAAGAGACACAGTTTTCATTAAAATTATTATGAAAAATGCGAATGAACGAATGCAATTGGAATGGATGCAATGGTGCGTGTACTTATGTACGCGCGTAAGAAGTTATACTTGTTTTTTATTAAATTTATTTCTTTGTTTTTATTTAAATCTTAATCAATTTAAAAAAAAATCGATTAAACAACATCCTCAAACACGCTTATTGGATATCCCTTTTCTTGACATCGTATAAATTCGGTAATTCTCGGTACGGTTCGGAAAGTTCACCTGCGGCTATATTCAGACTCGCCAAGTTACGTCGGTCGTATTGTAATGAGCGATTTAGTGGGCAACTTCATTCTGTTAATTTTGTGTCACGGTGCGCGCGCATCGTAAAATTTCACTATCGTAAATTTTTCATAACGCGCCTAAAGAAGTATAACTTCAAAAGACTTCTGTTCATGTTTGGCGGGCTTCAGACTCGATCCGGATTGTGTTCTGTTCATACGCAGACCCCCCGAGCCGTTGTATCATTCTCGAGACATATGAAAATATTCGGACCGAAATATGTCCGGCGTAAAAGCAGTCAACTACCAAGTATGAGACATCTAACATTAGGTTTCTTTGCAAATTTTTTCCTATTTATCTAAACGTAGTCCTTCCTTCCCCAAAAAACGTTACATTGAGATATCGGTGTAGTTCTCTGACTAGCTCTTCATCTAACTGCTTTGAAATGAACAATTAATAAGCGTGACTTGAAAACTGTAGGTCCGGCGGTAATGCAATTCAGTATAATTGCCAAAGTTGGCAACACTGTTCGAAAACGTCAAAATTTATTAAAAGCTAGTTCTAATCCAGTGGCACCAACATTAGAATTATAGTTTCTCTAATTAACAGAAATGAAAACGACACACAAACAGTACAAATGACTGTTTCGTGATTATAAGTGGGCCCGCGACACGCAACCCGCTCAGGATTGTGACTTCAACTCTACTTTAACTTAAT